GGAACAAGGTTAGGATAGAGAAAGAACAATATATTTAATATGAGTGAGATATAGGATAATATCCAGCAGGGACCACGCCAGCATGGACGAGCCATGCCACTCGATCAACTCCAGTCCATTCAATTCATTGTTCGCGCCTTCTCCATTGGTAGGTATTTATCCGCGTTAAATATTGAATATCTATTTTCTGAGTAGTCTTGTGTTCACAGCTTTGTGGATTGTGTGGCTATTGTCCAATGCCACTACAAGTTTATTGTAGAACAGGTTGTCAATACCTATCCGTGACTGTGACAGTTTTACGAAATTCAATATTCTAATATTCTTATTACTAGACTGTAAACAGCTTCAGATATTCGTTGAACTCGCGTCCACTAATGCGGCATCCTTATGAACTGCCAATCTACTTAAACAAATGTAGAATCTAGACACTGAAGTCAGTACACCATCGAGAAATTAATTAAACAGGAAGCGTAAACTTCGAAGAACATGCCTTCTCAATTATTTCTAAATCTACACAGGAAGCCTAAACTTCGAAGAACATGCCTCCTCTATTATTTTTAAATCTAGACGGTTAACTGGTTTCGTAACGAATACTTTCTTCACAACAGAGGCTATGCTTAACCCCCATAAAATGTGTGTACGACCTTCCCTTAAATACTGCTCCTTTATCTTCTCTAACACGGAGAACACAGACAAGATAGGAGTAGACGGTGTTCAAAGGCGCATCATATGCCAACTGCTAGGAAGTGACTCCACTCTCCATTACACAGACAGATGTAAACACCTCTCTTAAGAACCTTTGTGGCACCGGAGGCTAAAGAAAGATCTAATATTTCTTTACAAAGCAATAAATTGACTCTCATTTATAACCTCCTGCCCAACTATGATCCATGAACTAGCCTATAGACTAAGAAACAACACACACATACACCACATACCGTAAAATATCAAAAAACAATTGCGTTGTAAGTTTTTTACAGTGTGGTATAGTTTATTGTAGAACAGGTTGCCAATACCTATCCGTGACTGTGACAGTTTTATCAAATTCAATAGTCTCATAAACTTGGAACTAGACTGTGAACAGCTTCAGATATTCGTTGAACTCCCGTCCACTAATGCGGCATCCTTATGAACTGCAAATCTACCTAAACAAAAGTAGAATCTAGACACTGAAGTCAGTACACCATCTAGAAATTAATTACACAGGAAGCCTAAACTTCGAAGAACATGCCTCCTCAATTATTTCTAAATCTACACACGAAGCCTAAACTTCGAAGAACATGCCTCCTCTATTATTTTTAAATCTAGACGGTTAACTGGTTTCGTAACGAATACTTTCTTCACAACAGAGGTTATGCTTAACCCACATAAAATGTGTGTACGACCTTCCCTTAAATACTGCTCCTTTATCTTCTCTAACACGGAGAACACAGACAAGATAAGAGTAGACGGTGTTCAAAGGCGCATCATATGCCAACTGCTAGGAAGTGACTCCACTCTCCATTACACAGACAGATGTAAACACCTCTCTTAAGAACCTTTGTGGCACCGGAGGCTAAAGAACGATCTAATATTTCTTTACAAAGCAATAAATTGACTCTCATTTATAACCTCCTGCCCAACTATGATCCATGAACTAGCCTATAGACTAAGAAACAACACATATATACAAGACATACCGTAAAATATCAAAAAACAAATGCGTTGTGTGTTGTTTACAATGTGGTATAGTTTATTGAAGAACAGGTTGACAATACCTATCCGTGATTGTGACAGTTTTACCAAATTCAAAAGTCTAATAAACTTGGAACTAGACTGTAAACAGCTTCAGCTATTCGTTGAACTCGCGTCCACTAATGCGGCATCCTTATGAACTGCCAATCTACTTAAACAAAAGTAGAATCTAGACACTGAAGTCAGTACACCATCTAGAAATTAATTACACAGGAAGCCTAAACTTCGAAGAACATGCCTCCTCAATTATTTCTAAATCTACACACGAAGCCTAAACTTCGAAGAACATGCCTCCTCTATTATTTTTAAATCTAGACGGTTAACTGGTTTCGTAACGAATACATTCTTCACAACAGAGGCTATGCTTAACCCCCATAAATTGTGTGTACGAACTTCCCTTAAATACTGCTCCTTTATCTTCTCTAACACGGAGAACACAGACAAGATAGGAGTAGACGGTGTTCAAAGGCGCATCATATGCCAACTGCTAGGAAGTGACTCCACTCTCCATTACACAGACAGATGTAAACACCTCTCTTAAGAACCTTTGTGGCACCGTAGGCTAAAGAACGATCTAATATTTCTTTACAAAGCAATAAATTGACTCTCATTTATAACCTCCTGCCCAACTATGATCCATGAACTAGCCTATAGACTAAGAAACAACACACACATACACCACATACCGTAAAATATCAAAAAACAAATGCGTTGTGTGTTGTTTACAGTGTGGTATAGATTATTGTAGAACAGGTTGCCAATACCTATCCGTGACTGTGACAGTTTCACCAAATACAAAATGCTAATAATCTTGGAACTAGACTGTGAACAGCTTCAGATATTCGTTGAACTCCCGTCCACTAATGCGGCATCCTTATGAACTGCAAATCTACCTAAACAAAAGTAGAATCTAGACACTGAAGTCAGTACACCATCGAGAAATTAATTACACAGGAAGCCTAAATTTCGAAGAACATGCCTCCTCAATTATTTCTAAATCTACACACGAAGCCTAAACTTCGAAGAACATGCCTCCTCTATTATTTTTAAATCTAGACGGTTAACTGGTTTCGTAACGAATATATTCTTCACAATAGAGGCTATGCTTAACCCACATAAAATGTGTGTACGACCTTCCCTTAAATACTGCTCCTTTATCTTCTCTAACACGGAGAACACAGACAAGATAAGAGTAGACGGTGTTCAAAGGCGCATCATATGCCAACTGCTAGGAAGTGACTCCACTCTCCATTACACAGACAGATGTAAACACCTCTCTTAAGAACCTTTGTGGCACCGTAGGCTAAAGAAAGATCTAATATTTCTTTACAAAGCAATAAATTGACTCTCATTTATAACCTCCTGCCCAACTGTGGTCCATGAACTAGCCTATAGACTAAGAAACAACACATATATACAAGAGATAGCGCAGAATATCAAAAAACAAATGCGTTGTGTGTTGTTTACAGTGTGGTATAGTTTATTTTCGAACAAGTTGTCAATACCTATCCGTGACTGTGACAGTATTGCCAAATTCAAAATGCTAATATTCTTGTTACTAGACTGTAAACAGCTTCAGCTATTCGTTGAACTCCCGTCCACTAATGCGGCACCCTGATGAACTGCTAATCTGCTTAAACAAAGTATAATCTAAACACAGAAGTCAGTACACCATCGAGAAATTAATTACACAGGAAGCGTAAACTTCGAAGAACATGCCTCCTCTATTATTTTTAAATCTAGACGGTTAACTGGTTTCGTAACGAATACTTTCTTCACAACAGAGGCTATGCTTAACCCACATAAAATGTGTGTACGAACTTCCCTTAAATACTGCTCCTTTATCTTCTCTAACACGGAGAACACAGACAAGATAGGAGTAGACGGTGTTCAAAGGCGCATCATATGCCAACTGCTAGGAAGTGACTCCACTCTCCATTACACAGACAGATGTAAACACCTCTCTTAAGAACCTTTGTGGCACCGGAGGCTAAAGAAAGATCTAATATTTCTTTACAAAGCAATAAATTGACTCTCATTTATAACCTCCTGCCCAACTATGATCCATGAACTAGCCTATAGACTAAGAAACAACACACACATACACCACATACCGTAAAATATCAAAAAACAATTGCGTTGTAAGTTTTTTACAGTGTGGTATAGTTTATTGTAGAACAGGTTGCCAATACCTATCCGTGACTGTGACAGTTTCACCAAATACAAAATGCTAATAAGCTTGGAACTAGACTGTGAACAGCTTCAGATATTCGTTGAACTCCCGTCCACTAATGCGGCATCCTTATGAACTGCAAATCTACCTAAACAAAAGTAGAATCTAGACACTGAAGTCAGTACACCATCGAGAAATTAATTACACAGGAAGCCTAAACTACGAAGAACATGCCTCCTCAATTATTTCTAAATCTACACACGAAGCCTAAACTTCGAAGAACATGCCTCCTCTATTATTTTTAAATCTAGACGGTTAACTGGTTTCGTAACGAATACATTCTTCACAACAGAGGCTATGCTTAACCCACATAAAATGTGTGTACGACCTTCCCTTAAATACTGCTCCTTTATCTTCTCTAACACGGAGAACACAGACAAGATAAGAGTAGACGGTGTTCAAAGACGCATCATATGCCAACTGCTAGGAAGTGACTCCACTCTCCATTACACAGATAGATGTAAACACCTCTGTTAAGAATCTTTGTGGCACCGGAGGATAAAGAACGATCTAATATTTCTTTACAAAGCAATAAATTGACTCTCATTTATAACCTCCTGCCCAACTGTGGTCCATGAACTAGCCTATAGACTAAGAAACAACACACACATACACCACATACCGTAAAATATCAAAAAACAAATGCGTTGTCGGTTGTTTACAGTGTGGTATAGTTTATTGTAGAACAGTTTTGCAGTATCTATCCGTAACTTTTTCAGTTCTCCATTGACGAGATAATTGTAGGCACCTCTGTTTAGAACCTTTGTGGCACACTATTTAGATGATCGGTCTACTTTTTTTAATAAATGAATAAATTGACTCTCATTTCTTACCTCCTGCGCAATTATTATCCATGAATTTACCTGTAGGCTAATGAGGAACATGTACATATATATATATATGTATATATATATATATACCATGTAACATTAAAGAACGCGATAATAAAGTGACAGAGTTTTTGTGCGACTGTTTATTTGCCTATCCAGTTTCTCCATGAAGGAACACTATTTGGAAATGTGTTTGTCTGAATTGGTGATAAGGTTTTCAAATCGAGCGTTATCATTTATCTGATTGGCTGCTGTGTTTTGTGCTGACCCACCGTTTGATTCTAAGTGCTTACGGTCTGTCCTTGTATTCTTAAAGCTCTTCCTTTGCGTTGAAGTGATCAGGGGTGTTTCTGATCTTCGATGACTCGGGATTACCAATGCCAGATAACAAATGTGACGAATCATTTGCTAAGAATAACAGCAATACTGCGACATTTACTCGTCCTTTGCATGTAATTACACAATACTCGAGAGCGGATGTTTCTGACGTGCATTCACTTGGTAGATCGACCAGTTTAGGATTATGTTTAACAAACTCCCCAAATCTCACAGATCTCAAGAGCTGTTCCTTGTCACTTCGTAATGTTGTATCCCAAGAAGTTTGCTACCAACCTTGGACCGTTCGAGCTGTGGATACATCGGAGTTTGAGAAGCTCCTAGAACATCTTGGTAACAATGGCTCTACACCAGTGACTCCGACCAGTTTTTTGAACCCGAACAACATAACAGAAGATCAGGAGTTGTTTGCAGAGTGAGTCATGATTTAGTATTGGGCTAGAAATGGCCATATTCTCAGTTATTTGGTAAAATAAACTTCTTCCCACTTTCGCTTGTTTATTAATTATGTACTTTCGCTTTCAACCACCAATTAAGAAGTAAGAAGGTTAGCTGCTGCGATCACTGAGGATCGCTGTGATGTTACTCGGGTATCTTGAGACCTATGAATCGATCAAACCACAGTACGGCAGAACCGGTTTTTATTTTTCTCTAATTCTTGGGCTCATTATCGTGTACTTTCAACCGTTAACGTATAATACTAAACTTTCGTCTTGCAGATATCCGCTCAAAGGTTGGCGTTCGATATGAACTTCTGTAAGTATTGCAGATGACGTAAGTCATCATAGGATCACCTCTGGTTGTCCTATACTCTAACGAATATAAATGACTGGATCTAAACCCGATACTAATAAGTTTTGTTCGTCTCTGAATACTGTAAACCTTATACCTGTAAAACTGATGAATGCGAAGGCTCTTTTTATAATAAATTTAAGTTAGTATTCATGAAGCGAAAACTTTTACAATTTGCATGCATTTGTTTGTTTTTCATGCTCTTCATCTAATTTACAAACATATCGGATTATCATTTTCTTGATAAATTTCGAGTAAATAGCTTGGAACTTCGCTTTAATGTCAATCTTGGCGATTTTCTTTCTGCAAGAAGTGCACTGTGATAACTAACATATTAATCTATAGATCAATGTCCTCTTGAGCTTGCTTTTTCCCGTTTTTATGTAGCCCTATATTTTTAGTGGAATTATGTTATTCACAGTTTAATCAAACTCATTTGTGAAAATGAATAGTTTTTATCATCTGATCATAGTCCATAACTAGTGTTTCATATGCATTTCATATCAGAAATTGTGGTAATTTCTACAATTCACTCACCAGTAGTGGTAATATCGGGAAAAGCATCTAGATTTTATTTCTTTCGGGCTCATGACTACATCTCTGCAGAAACATTTAATGAACGCGAATTGAATTATTCCCATAGTTGTCAATATCGGTAATCGGTTATTATTACATCAGCATTCCTTTTGCATAGTCAGTCAGTCAGTCAGCTACAACGTAGGACCAGGCACATATGTGCATCGGTCCAGGTTGCCATACCTCATTAGCACAACAAGATGAACACCGGATTCATAGGAGTGGTTAGGTCAAAGGTTGCAATAAGGATATAGTATAGGAAGGAAGAATTAGTTCGTAGAAAGAAAGATATGAAGTGATTTAATCTCTTAGTTTAAGGGAAGACAGGGAGTGTATACACCGACGCCATTGTGATCGATTCTGAACCATGTCACCAAGAGTCTCCAACCATTGGTTACGATAGTCACGCGGACCCCAACCAAGTAGTCTGCATCTACCAACATGGCTCAGACTAGAAGTTAGTGACTTCAAGCACTGATGCCACGTTTTGGTTTGGCCGCCCCTAACTTTCTTCCAACCAACCCCTACACCGGTTAGCATTGCACGTCGTGGTAGTCGGTGTTCAGGCATACGTAATACGTGGTCCAACCATCTCAGTCGATGAAGATTCATAACCTCATCAACTGATTTACCATCATTCCCTAATACCCTGCGTCGAACCTCACTATTACTTACCCGGTGATCCCAGCAGATGCCAACAATATTTCTAAGGCATCTGTGGTCAAATACTTGTAGCTTACGGGTGTCTTCTACTCTTAAAGGCCATGTTTCGCTGCCGTAAAGTAAGACAGAACGGACTGTCGCGCAGTATACTCGTCCTTTTATTGATAGACGGATATCTCGCCTCCGCCAAAGGTGACGTAAGTTGGCAAAAGCCAAACGAGCTTTTCGAATCCGTGCTGAGATTTCGTCAGACACCAACCCATTAGGGCTGATCAGACTTCCAAGATAAGTGAAGTTGTCGACGCGTTCGACTACTTCACTCCCTATCCTTAGTTCAGGTGTTGACGCACACCAGTCCTGAAGCAACAACTTGCATTTAGAGGGAGAGAAGCGCATCCCAAACATTCTGGCATTGTTGCTTAGTGCTACCAGAAGACTCTGCATTTTGTCAGCGTCTTCACCAAACAGGACTATATCATCTGCGTATTCTAAGTCGATAAGTGGACCTCCTGGAAGGAGATCAATACCCGAGAATTCAGTCGACGAGAGTGTTATTTCCATCAATAGGTCTATGATGAAGTTAAACAAAAATGGAGAAAGTGGACAGCCTTGACGGACACCACTTGAAGTTGCAAAAGTAGATGACAGTTCGCCATAAGCCCTGACTCGACTAGTAGTGTTCGAGTAAAGAGCCTTCACAAGGTTTATGTACTTCTGAGGTACGCCTTTCAATGACAGACACTGCCACAGAGTCTCGCGGTCTACAGAGTCAAACGCTGCTTTTAAGTCAAGAAAGACCACCATCGTCGGACGCCGATAGGTATGCCTGTGTTCTAGAACCTGACGAATGGTGAATATGTGGTCGATGCAGCCACGACCAGGTCTAAAGCCAGCTTGGTTCTCTCGAGTTTGTAGTTCACGAGTCTTAGTTAGGCGTCTGATAATTATCGAGGCCAGTATTTTAGATATTATATTAGTTAAAATAATCCCTCTGTGGTTGTCACAGGATGATTTTGACCCTTTCTTATATACTGAGACGATAAGTGATTGTGACCAGTTAGATGGGATAACGTCTAACTCCCAGATCCTAGCTAAAATATTAGTCAACCTAATCGCTAAAATTGGACCACCATCCTTAAAAACCTCTGGAGCCAGTCCATCTGGACCAGCTGCCCTTCCTCGTTTCAGATTAACTATAGCCTTTTGAACTTCAGCAATAGTTGGGGGACCTACTTCAATGTTCCATTCACACTGTCTGGGAATGGAGGGTAGTTGTAGAGTAGCTGAAGGCCAGTTGAACTGTTCTCTGAAATGTTCCGCCCATCGTTCTAAACGTCTGGACTGGGAGCAGATGAGAGTATCGTCGTTTTCCGATATAATCTCACTTACACTTGACTTATTAATTCCAGTTTCTTTTATTAGTCTGTAAAGCTGTCTTGTGTTCCCTATAGTCGCCGCCTTTTCCATCTCTTTTGCTTTCGTTACCCACCACTGCTCACGGTCGTTCCTTAGACTTTTTCTTAACCTAGATCTGATTTGTTTTCGCTCTTCATCATGTTCGGAACCTGATGGGACGAGTTTGCAAGAAGCCATCAGTGTGACAGACCTTGAAGAAATCCACTGGTTCCTTGCAACTCTGTGGTTTAAGTCACTAATAGATGTCACTGCTGTTTCCACAGCTGATTGTATGCCCTTCCAAGCAACATCTGGGTCAGCCTCGTCTTCACAACTACCTAAGTGTGACCTCAGTTGTTCCTGGAACCTACTTTTGGTTTTCTCGTTACTCAACTCAGTTCTAACGGGTCTTTTTAATGTGGCTTTTTTGCGTCCAGTGAGGCGCAAGCAGATGCGTGCCCGTACTAGGGCATGGTCGGAGTCCAAGCAGGTACTCCAGAATGAGCGACAATCTTCTACCGACCCTCTCCAACGATGACTGATGGCAATATGGTCTATTTGAGTCCATCGTTGGTTTGGTGTAGGGGGTCGCCATGTTAGACGATGTCTCTCCTTATGCTTAAAATTTGTATTTGCTAAAAATAAACGATTGTCTGAGCATAGCTGCAGCAGACGATCACCATTATCTGTTCGCTGTGCCGGAATGCTAAAATATCCACCTAAATGCCTTTCTGTTTGGTTTAAGCTACCTATCTGAGCATTAAAATCACCTGCTACGAGTACTATGTCTGAGCGTTTAGCTTTCTGTAAAATTCATCTTTCACATCATCTGAGCTGCAGTCAGTGGGAGCGTAGGCAGAAACGACGAAAAGGCAACGACGTGTGTCCCTATCCTTCCGAGTTCTTACGTAGCCGTTCAGCCGAACAGCACATAGACGACTGTTGACGGGGATCCACTCTAGCAGTGCTTGTTCGGCCCTCATGCTTAGTGCTATGCCTACACCTGCCAGTCCACGAGAACTGGCCATCGGGTCACCAGATACACGGAGGGTGTATCTCGTTGGCTCTCCGTTCTGCCGAGGTGAGGTCAAGTGAATGACCACACTGGGATCCTATATGCGTGTTTCAGAGACACAGCATACATCAATGGAAAGAGACTCTAGGGTTTTAGCCAAGGAAGCCTGCTGACCGATTTGACATGGAGTGCGTACGTTGAAAGCTCCAATGTGTAGTTTGGAGCGAGGTTTCAGTAGACCTGGGACAGAGTTTTGAGCACTAGAATCGTTGGCTATGGTGACACTTGAGGAGGAAGCCGAAGGAGGAAGTTTAGAGTGGAAAGTCGATATAGGAGGAATAATAGGAATTGAAGAGGAAGGTTGATTATGAATACAGTGGTCTTGGGTGCTGTTAGAGGTATGAGGGCGGTTATCACTTCCCGGTTGCCCACACCGTGGAAGGGTTGTTCTGGAGGTACCTGAAAAGGAAATTGGATTAGAGGTGGTCTCAGTGACGTGAGAGCGTGACCGCAGTGCCCAAGGGACAACTGCTTGAGGTCGGTCGCGCACGGCCTTTTCGTGGAAGGTTTTCGACGTGTTAGCTCCGTTCTTTAAAGGGCCTTACCGCCGGAGACGGAAATCCGTGAGGTAAGGTGAGGTGTGCATTTTTAGGGTCGACCTTTTCTAACCCCACCCCTCCTTGTGGGAAGGCAGCATCGCTGTCATGCTGGTTGTCTGAAGGGAACACCTTACTGCTGTCACACCTCTGTACAATCAGCAGTACGACTTCGCCTTCGGACCTTGGGTTTGTTGCTTTTAGTCTTACCGCTCTTCAACCGACCTGTCTGACATGGTAGGACCTTGAGGAACGGTTGTTCCAGTCAGTATAGCTCGGTTGCTTCATCACGATAGGCAAGCCCGACCACCACGTCAAGGTAGCAACAACGGTGTGACTTTGTTGGCTCAAGTTGTAACTTTTGTTGAGAACATAGAAAGAT